AATTTAAATTCAAGACGGAAAGCGGTATTCTATTTGCTAGAATTCGACCAATGGAAGCAAAGAAGCTATTCATTGAAGAAGCAATGGATTGGGATGTTATATGCTGAACACCATCAGAGATGGTGGGCTCCGACGAAGGGCTAACGCTCGAAACGTCAGCTTTTGTAATCGTTACGGTGGCCAATTTACCATTTCAACTTTGTTGATATATCCAAATTATACCGATGCGGTGTTCATTATTAGCAAAGAGCAAGTCGATCATTGTCCGTGAGGTGTCAGTTATGCGCATCGGTTCTTTTATTAACTGAGTGAAGTTGTAGGCCCGCGAAAAGTTAAGAAGTTCTTGTTTATCTCTTTTTGACAATTTAGAACTCGCCATCATGTCTGCGTTAAAATCGCCTAGAATTACCACATCCGATTTTTCTAGATCCACAGATGACATACTCTCATGTAGTGGAGAAAGAAAGTCAGAATCCGGTGCTCTATAAGCGCAGCAGACGTGTGTTGGCTTGCATTTGTCTCTAATCAACTCGAGCCATAGACATTCTTGACCGCCAGTATTAATATCATTCCGCAGGCGAAAAGCCAAACCTTCTCTCACATAGATAGCTACACCACCATATCCCTCTTTAATGCCAGTGCGATCCTGACGAACGCACACGAATCCAGGAAGATTAATTTCTGTGTCGCAAATATTCCCATCCAACTATGTCTCGGATAGAGTTAGAATGTCCACTGTTTTACTGTCGATTCCCTCAAGGCGCAAAGAGTCGGTCTTGTGAACGAGACTTCGAATGTTTAAGTGAGCAATTTTCAGTCCACCAGTGTTCCTTATGTCGTGTAGCGTCTGGTAGCCGGGGTTAGACTTAATATCACCGGCCAGAGCAATTAGAGCTAGGCCGAAACAGGCTCGATGAAAGATCTTAAAAAGCATAACAGCTTTGAGCGAATTACTAAGCTCTTTATCTCCGGACGGATTCCTCTGTTGACGCAAATTACCCGCAATTTCAGTTCTGCAGCTCACTTTTGAGACGAAATACGCATCACTGTCGTTTAGAAAAGTGCTCTTCTGCAGATATAAGGACTTGTAGTTTACAAAAGACACATAAATGCAGAGAAATATACAAATGTTCGCAGAGAGCCTGAGTCTGCATCCGACCGCCATGATGCCATTGACGCACTCCCATTCGATGGCGAACGACAGTTTGGATAGTTGAATACTTTATTTAATTTACAAAATTTCAAACGAGTTAATAGATTTTTTGACTTAACGTGCCTAATGTTATATTTGCTCTGTTCTTCATACTAAGCGTTTTTAATAATCATAATCACTTACTCACCACACAATTTTGATTTATTAAATGCTCGTATTTGATCACGCGAGTGCAGTATCATATCTCCATCCTCGTACAAAATAACATATCGGCCATTCTTGATGTCTCGTATGTAACCAATCTCGAACGCGCGAGACTTGGGCCGATTGACCAGAATCTGACTTCCCCAGGGTAGGTCGTTCTGTTCCGGAATACGATCCACAACTATGTCCACATTATCCCTGGGGTTAAATGCCAGTCGAGCTCCGTTGTCAAACAATACATTCACCCTGTTAGTTATTGATTCAATCTCGCCTTTATAGTAGTTCCCATTCTTCCAGCGGCTGATTACTCTTGATGCTGGCTCCAAGCATTCTGCAAGGATAGAATAGCGTTGTGCTAATAATTTTAGAAATTCTTAGAAACTGGTACAGTTGTTTGCTGCTGTTTATAACATCTATCTATTCTAAGTTATTGCAAATAGATAATCTTGATCAATCGATTTTGACGACTAGTTCTTGGCTGGATTGTTCAAAGCCTGGGTTAAAATAACCCAAGGTTAGCGTAAAATCTGATTTCAGATCTGAAATCTTAAAGAGAAAAATCAAAAGAATTCTTTTCGTCTAGAATTTGATTATCGGATGCTCTAAAAAGGAAAGGAGAAAATTGTCTTGAAAAGGCTTTTGAACAAGGAATAAAAAAAACCAAGGTTCAAATTTAACCTTAGGTTAGCGCCAATCTACCTTCAACAACTGGGCCCAGAACTTACAGTGTGGTAAAAAAATTAGCGGGGCTTTTTTGGCGGATTGGTGATTTTTGATGTTTTGCGGGAACAATATTTCGCCGCCGATGATGGCTGACAAAAGTTTCTGCAAATAAATTTTTGTTCCAGGACCAAATATATTTCAAGTTAGGGAGAGGAATGATTCAAGCTTTTATCCCTGATCGAGTTGCATCACCTTGTACTTATCACTGAAAGAATTTTCATTGAACGCTTTAAAAGGTTCGAGGGCAAATTAAATACTGTCACCCAATGAGACTGTCATTGACCGAGCTAGACCGAAAGAAAAGCCCGTTCCTGACCCCTTCCTACTCTTAGCCTCTGCCTGAGGCTTTCCTTGAACTAAAGGTTTAATTTGTTAGATTTCTTTTTAAGCTGGGAATCATTTCTGCAAAAAAAAAAAAAACAAAAAACAATCCGCTGACTCCAAAATTTTCAAGCCATACGGCGCAAGTGTAATTGTCATCATAAATGGTACCAATAATGCAAACGATTAAATTGTCTCAACAGCCAGTTATACTTCTCGTTCTTCGTTGATTAAACTCTGTCATATTTTCATTGCGATTTTAAATTAAAACAAATCATCATTCAGTCGGCAACTTGAAGTTGAGGTGGAACGGTGTCGATCCGTTTCATCGATGCTGTCTTCAACAAATTGCTTGTTTCGCTTTGGAATTTGTTGTTGACTTTCTCTCTATTTATTTACTATACAAATTCGTGTCATTCAAACGCTAAAAAGTACAAATATGGCAACTTTTAATTCTATTTGGTTTCGACTTTGCAACTGCATGTGGTGCTATCAAGAACAACGGATTTTATGACAACGAAAGAAACTTACCGACCGCTTGTGTTGCACGGACTGTCAGGAAGAAAAGCACCAGGAATACTAAAGCGAGTGTCATAGCATTCTTTAACCAGAGTAGCACGTCGATTGTAAAATTTTACCAATTCGTACCTCAGGAAAAAAATTTTCCTAGTTATCACGTTTATGCGGCTTTCAAAATGCCTAGGTTCCTCCTGATATTTTTCACTGAGGCGTTAATCTCTTATCATGCAATAATGGCCACATCATACGTGTAAAGAATTCTTTCCACAACCCTCTCGCTTCTTGTGAACGAAGTCATCTCCATGACAGATTCAGTTCCTGGCTTAGAATTCGTGCGACGTTTTATGGAGAATTATATTTGAAAGCTCAACTGATGTAACTCAACATTTACGATTTAAAAGATCATCAGTTGTTCTTTTTGTTCGCCTGAGCTGTAACTCATTAAAATTCTACCATCTTTTGATACTGCTTATGATTTATGCATAACTGTTTTTGGAAGACGCTGCAGAGAGCGGGTTGCTGGCTAATTTCAAAACAAAACAGAACCAGTTGTAGCAAGTGTTTTATTCTCTGACATGAATCCACCGGTAACGTTACTTTACTTTGGAGGGAGAAAAATCAATTATATTGAACCAATTAAACAAGCAGTGTATATTCCAGAACTTCTTTAGTGTAGACAAAAAGGCTACATTTTGATTTTTAATCATTCTCCCGGTGTATTTATACGAATTATCTATTTTATTTTAATTTCTTTTCAACTGGTTTTAAATGCTTCGATGATTTTCTCCTGAAATAGATTTTAAGTTGACAAACATTTTACAGGAGATTAACCTAATTGTTTTGGAAAAGTTGTGTCCATCAGTGATTTAAGCTGTAAATTTGAGCTTTGTCTCAACAAGCAGGGGTGGTCATATAAAACAAAACAAATATATTAATCCCTTAGATTGTCGATTTTCTTCTGATACTATCTGAGTATACTCGCCAGCAGACTCCATATAATATACAACCCCTTTCGACGAACAATTTAACCAAGTGGCACTAAACTTTAAACCATTAGGTACATGTCGCTACTGATCTAGATGCAGGGCACTTCATTTGAATGCAGAGATCTAGAGCAGGGTTGAAGATCTCCAGATCTTGACTTTACGGGTATTTGTGCACATTTGCAAACGAATAACCTCAAACTCTAACTGATTTTCAGTTTCGGTTACGCCTCCAGCTGTAGGGGAATTTCTCGTTATTCGGATGATTATCCTGCAGACACGTGTGTCTATTTGCCCTCAAGTCACTAGTGAACAACAGATCCTAACCCTTGTTCAAAAGATTTCATGGCCCTCACTGGTACACACGTAGGGTTAAAGAAGCCATCCACTTTAGACTTCATCCCAAAAACATGCAACGGAGGTAACAAAATTGAAACTCCCGAAGCACGAATGCCCACTGTCAAAAAGCACAACGGCCGATCAGAAACAAAGCGGACCTATGAGAGAACGATTTTTAAAAGTCGGAACAGAGCAAATTTTAATTCAATGTCAACGGTAATTCAGGATTGCATTGGTTTTACTTTATTTTCCTAATTCGCCTTGCGATTGGTCCAAAAAGCTTGCGCTCCCTTTTCAACCAAATTAAAACTAAAACCAATCACGACGTGGTCACCCATGTTTTCCCGTGCTTTTGGCTTTTTGAATCCTCATTGACCTCTTCTGATATTTTCCTTCGCTCTGATTGGTTCATTGGTTATGGTGTTACGTCACTCAGTCAAAATAATAGTAATAATAATAATAATAATAATAATAATAATCTTCTTATATAGCGCTGTTTCTCTACTGAACCAACAGCACTTTACAACAATGAATGATGTAACATTAAGAAAAAAGCCTAAAAAACAGTTAATGATTCTTACAATTCAAAGTAATTTCTAAAAAGGTTCGTCTTAAGAGTAGATTTAAAAGATTCTGTTGACTTGCAACGTTTTATACTTAATGGGAGGATATTCCACCGTTTTGGGGCAATGAAGTAAAAAGTTCGCTCCCCAAGTTTTAAGTCAGTTGGCGGCGGGGCTGTACCAGTAGTTCTTTGTCAGACGAACGTAATGTCCTTGATAGTCCATAGTGAATTAAGAGGTCACTTAGATAGGATAGCGCCAGTTAATTAAGACATTTAAAAGTCATCGGTAAAATTTTAAAACGAATGCGTTCATGAACGGGTAACCAATGCAGATCTCTTAGCACAGGTGTAATGTGCTCGCGTTTACGTGAGCCTGTTAGAAGTCGGACTGCTGAATTCTGGACATAGTGGAGTTTTTGGACTTGATCCTGCCTAAGACCCGGGAGTAGCATATTATAGTGGTCAATCTTGGATGTTACGAATACGTGGATCAAAGTTTCACAGTGACGGAAAGAGATATGTTTACTGATTTGAGCAATGTTGCGCAGGTGGTAAAAAGCAGACTGACATGCGCTGTTTATTTGTTTGTCCACGGACATGACAGTGTCGAGCTCGAGGCACGCGCCGATGTTCTTTGCTGAGTTCGATAAGTAGACGACATCTGAGCAAACAAGGATAGATTCTAGCGGGGGTTCTGGTCGATGACGGGCGTGCAAAACACGGAGCTCAGTTTTGTCATGATTGGGCATCAACTTATTGGTTGACATCCAATTGTTAACATCGTCATCGTGAATGCCTCAATCTTGATCTTCAAGAACTGGGTCTTCCCAGATAGATAAGGCTATATCCAATTTAAGGCTTTCCCAGTTATTCCAAAGCGATGTTTTAGCCTAGTAATGAGAATATCATGATCTACCGTGTCGAACGCCGCTGAGAGGTCAAGTAACACCAAAATAACACACTCTCCGTTGTCAACGGCCCGTAGAATGTCACCCCTTTCTTATATGCAGATTGAAAAATCTCATGTAGGCTTAATGAGGATCGAAATACTACCAGAGACAGTACGCGAAAACACACCAACAACATCAAACCACACCTATAACATCAAATCAAGGTGTTATAAATAGCGAAAAGTAACCTTTCGACCTCGTCACGTGACGATGACTAACAGCGTAGCAGTGGAAACGTCGTGATCAATACAACTTATAGCCTGATCGACTCTACATCGCGTGAAAAATGATTTAAGTTCATAAATCAAGAAAACCACGACGAACAACAGCATTTTTTATAACAATATACGGATTACATCAATGGCCGTTTTCACACTAGAGGACGGACAAATCGTCTGGACGGACAAATTGCCAGGCATTTGTTCGTCGAATCTGAATTCGAGAAGGCCATATGCCGAAAAGTTGTCCGTCTTATGAGCGTAAAGAGAACAGGCACCAGGTCGTGTTGTAAAGCAAAATGGCTGCCGCCATAAAACCTCGCCTGTTGCTAGTCCCATTTCCTCGCGGCGAGAAAATCGAACATTTCACCGTCTGATATGAATTTAAGTCGTACTGTCGTCGACTTGTTCGTCTCGACGGACGAATCGTCTTCAAAAAATCGTCTTTCCAGACGGCCAAATATCAGACGATTTGTTCGTCGAAAAATTTGTTCGTCCCGTTTTCACATCAGACGATTTGTTCGTCTAAGACGATTTGTCCGTCCTCTAGTGTGAAAACGGCCAATGACGTACTCGGCTACGCGCTACGTCTCGTGTGCCACTTTTTTGTTCTTATCACATTTTGACGTAATTTGCAGATCTATTTTTGAACAGACAGCAACATGGAATCTATTTTTAGTTTAATGAGATAGACCTTTAGGATCCCAAAATGAAAAGTAAATTTACCGAAGGATACTCAGTTTGGAAAACAATCGACACTGAAACCTTGAAAGCGACGAAAAAAGCTTTCGAGTTAACAACACTACGAATCCAAAACGCGTCACAAATTATGACAGGAGAATGGAAACTGAATTTGTTAACCAAAGTGGGGCTTTGACACTTCCGGACTATTCTTTTGTCCGCGAGTGAACTTTATTTTTGGTTGCTGATATGTTCTTGAACTATTTTGCAACAGAATATTTTGATTTAAATCTAACATTCAGAAGTTTTAAGAAAACTACGTAACGCAATGTTCTGAAGTCCAGTAAACAATGATTGAAGGATAGAGGTTTCTGAGTACATTTTGACT